AGAACGTCCAATGGGCAACTCCTGATGAAATCACGTGTTGTGACGTAAAGCGTAGGGTGGGCTGAAGACATCAAGCCGCACAACTGGAAGTTTACGAGCCGCCATTTTGTGAGTGATCGAAAAATGCTGGAGGTTATATATTGAGAGCTTTCTACTTTAGTGTCCCAGATGGACACTTTTTATGTGAGTGCATTCAGCTTTTAATAAATATTGGTGGATATATATTACTACGCTATGTTGAGCGTTTTTCTCTGCATGTTTGAAGGATATATTGGAAAGCAAGTACCTGCTGAAATAGAGTGCGGAGGAGAGTGGAATTGAAAGATAATATGAACAGATAATAAGATTATAAAATACTTGTGAGCCACAAAATAAATACTAGTTATATATGATGTAGTTCGCTGGCACTTGATCACATCCTCATATTTGTGTGCAATGTAGTAACCAAGATAAGAATTTTTAGAAGTGCTACGCCCTTGGAATATATTAATGATTAATTAATATAAATGATATATATATACACACACATATAACTCGTGGTTTTAAAATATAATAATTGGAATGTGGAATAAATCCTCTCAAAGTAAACAACTGTAAATGTGTTGAATGATATATAAAAAAAAAAAAAAAAAAAAAAAAAGGTACAAATGTGACTAGTATAACGTTTTTATTAGAAATAATGGTTTCCCCCGGACGAAGCCACGTGACCCTGCGGCGCAACACATTGGGGAGGGGCTTTGACGTCACCGAGTACCTGCAGAACAGCGAGTATACACGGTGGGAGAGGACACCCAGAGGAGGCTTATTACTCCGTACAGAGCGGTTTATATTAAAGTGCTTTATACTGTTACACCATGTGAGTACGTATACATCAGAGCACACAGTAAACCTTTTAATAAAAAACGAGGAGAAGAGCGAGGGGATGAAGCCATGCACAGCAGTGTAAGGAGGGAAACATCTTTGTCTACACCAGGCATGATAGTGGCTATCCAGGAGAACCAAGCACATTTCCACAGCGCATCTCACCTTGAAGGATTCCAGCACATTATCACCTAATAGAATCCAGCCATGTGTTCAGCCTACATTTAGACTTACAGGAAGGTGAGCATATAAAAGTGTCACTACCCAAGGAAGGATCTGCACTATTTTTTGGACGTTTATATTTATTTGGACACTTTATTCTTTATTTATACCTTTTTTATTCATTCAGCATTGTGGATTTATTATTCCATATTATTTGATTTCCCATTCCACGTTATACTAGTCACATTTGTAGCTTTTTGGGGTTTTTTTTTGGGTTTTTAATTATCATTCAGCACATTTACAGTTGTTTACTTTGAGAGGATTTATTGCATATTCCAATTATAATATTTTAAAACCATGAGTTTTTATATATATATATATATATATATATATATATATATATATATATATATAAAATATTAATTAATTTATTCCAAGGGTGCGGCACTTCTAAAAATTCTTATCTTGAAAGATATTATACCTGCCTTAAAAGGGAAAAAGCATTTGACATAACATTATGGGCCAAACAAGGAGGTGAGAGCATAAGTGTGTCAGAGGTGGAGGAACACTGAAATGCCCCCCATGTTGTCATGTTACAATGTATCCCCCCCGTGTTATCATGTTACAATGTATCCCCCCCATGTTGTCATGTTACAATGTATCCCCCCCATGTTGTCATGTTACAATGTATCTATTGGGATTGGATGTGATGGACCGACACAAAGTGGCACATAATTGTGAAGTGGAAGGAAAATGAGAAATGGTTTCCAACATTTGTGACCAATAAATCTGTGAAAAGTGTGGCGGCATTTGTATTCAGCTCCCCGGAGTCAATACTTTGTAGGACCCCCTTTGGCTGCCATTCCAGCTGCAAGTCTTTTTGGGGATGTCTCTTTGCACATCTAGAGAGGGACATTTCTGCCCATTCTTCTTTGCAGAATCCCTCAAGCTCTGTCAGATTGGATGGAGAGCGTCTGGGAACAGCAATTTTCAGGTCTGGCCACAGATTCTCCATTGGATTTGGGTCTGGACTGTGACTGGGCCATTCTAACACATGAAGATGCTTTAAACTGAACCATTCCATTGTAGGTCTGGGTGGATGTTTCGGGTCGTTATCCTGCAGGAAGGGGAACCTCCGCCCCGGTCTCAAGTCTTCTGCAGACTCTAACAGGTTTTCTTCTAAGATTGCCCTGTATTTGGCTCCATCCATCTTCCCATCAATTCTGACCAGCTTCCCTGTTCCTGCTGAAGATAAGCATCCCCACAGCATGATGCTGCCACCACCATGTTTCACAGTGGGGATGGTGTGTTTAGGGTGATATGCAGTGTTAGTTTTCCCCCACACATAGTGTTTTGCTTTTGGGCCAAAAAGTCCCATTTTGGTCCCATATGACCAGAGCCCCTTCTTCCACACGTTTGCTGTGTCCCCCACATGGCTTCTCGCAAACTGCAAACGGGACTTCTTATGGCTTTCCTCCAACAATGGCTTCTTCTTGTCACTCTTCCATAAAGGCCAGATTTGTGGAGTGACGACTAATAGTCCTCCTGTGGACAGATTCTCCAACCTGAGCTGTGATCTCTGCATCTCCTCCAGAGTTCCCATGGGCCTCTTGGCTGCTTCTCTGATGAATGCGCTCCTTGCCCGGCCTGTCAGTTTAGGTGGATGGCCATGTCTTGGTAGGTTGGCAGTTGTACCATACTCTGTCAGGGATCTCGAGTTTCTCCGCGGTGCATGGGTCTGCGCATGCGCGGAATCCCGATGCGGACAAGCGTACGGGCGCTATGACAGACTACCGCGGCAACAGTTACGGCCGCGCATGAGCACCTGGCACCAATGACAGCGCAGGGCGCACTATTTAAACCGGCTCTTGCAATGCTCAAATTGCCGTATGGTCTTGTTCCCTGCTTATCCTGTTCCTGTGAGAGTATCTTGTTGTTGCCGAACCCAGCCTGATCCTGATTACTGCTGACCGTCTCCTGCCCTGACCCCTGGCTTGTCTTCTTCTGCCTGTTCCTGATTGTCCGAACTCCTGCTGCTGAACCTGGCCTGTGACCCGACTATCCTCTGCCTGCTGCTCTGTTCCGTTCTGCCTCCATGTTACCGACCCGGCCTGTCTGACTGCTTCACTCTGTGTTCCATCCATCCATCCTGCATGGATCTATCCATTACTGCCGAGGCCTGCTCTGCCTCTTCACATCGGGCTCTTATCCAGCTACGTGCCACTGGCGGTTCCCTCTACTACAGCTGGGTGTATCCAGGGGCCGCGACCTGGTCTCAGCCTGCTCCAAGCCCATCCCCACCATCAGGGGCTCTGGTGAACAAGCAGACTGGGGCTTAGACTCCGCGCCCTGGGGAGTCCCGGTCTGTGGATCCATAGAGCTACCGTCAGTAGGTACCTGACACTTTCCATTTTTGGATGGTGGATTGAACAGTGCTGCGTGAGATGATCAAAGCTTGGCAATTTATAACCTAACCCTGCTTTAAACTTCTCCACAATGTCACAACGTCATCCTTAACCTGAGATTAATTTACACACAGGTGGACTATTTACTAATTATGTGACTTTTGAAGGCAATTGGTTCCATTAGATTTTAGTTAGGGGTATCAGAGTAAAGGGGGTCGAACACAAATGCACGTCACACTTTTCACATTTTTTTGTAAAAAATTCTGAAAACCATTTCTCATTTTACTTCCACTTCACAATTATATGCCACTTTGTGTCGGTCCATCACATCAAATCCCAATAAAATACATTGACATTTTTGGTTGTAACATGACAAAATGTGGAAAATTCCAAGGGGTATGAATACTTTTTCAAGGCACTGTATAACATTTCTTCTCCAAGCTAAAAGTATGTGTCATTGGAAGTGAATCTGAAACTATGGACATGGAAATATTTACACATTCTTAAGCTGCAGAAGCTGCTTGTACTGAGAAGTAATCTATTCTCTAAGATCCTCAAAAGATCACAACAAAGACTCTGAACATACCTCCCAACTGTCACTGATTTAGAGGGACTGTCCCTTATTTGGAACAAAGTTCCTCTGTCCCTCTTTCCTCCTCATTTGTCCCTCATTTTGGTCTGATCTATATAGTTGTATATAAAATGAACTATTTATCTTTCAAAAAGTGTTTCCCAGCGCTAAACCTTTCATCCGAATTCTAAATGGGTGCATTTGTAAACTTCAAAAGCCAGTATAAAGGAATAGTATTGATGAAAACAAAAGTACAGCTCGTCCCTCCGGATGGACACCATATGGCGTCCTTTCCAGAACACGCATTGCACATGCCCCCAGGGCCATCCTGTTGCAGGATCTTTCACTGGCTGTGTACCTTAGACATGGCCGATGACAGATCTGTGTACCGGGCCCGTTGCCAGTACCATGTGACCTGCTGTCACCAATCACAGCAGGTCACATGACAGTTGTATACAATGCCATCCATTGTATACAAGTGTGTCTAACTGTGAATGGTCACAGCGATCACATGCACAAGCTGGGCTAATCTTAAAAAAGGAGAATAAAATTTAATAAAGAATATTAAAAAAAAAAGTAAAAAATTGAAAACAATTTTATCAAATTTTTTTTTCTGTACTGTCATCAGTTAGTGTCCCTGATCACCGCCATGCCAGTTATAGACGACGACGCTGTACTGCACTGGTGACAGGATGTAACAAAAAAAAATTGTGAAAATCATTTTTTTAATTTCTTCATTTTCCCAAAAAATTATGCAAAAAAATTACAACTTCAAAAAAACTCACCATTCCTCTTATGAAATACGTTGGACTGTCTACTTTGCAAAAAGGGGTCATTTGGGGGCTATCTGTACCGTCCTGACATTTGGGGGCTATCTGTACCGTCCTGACATTTGGGGGCTATCTGTACCGTCCTGACATTTGGGGGCTATCTGTACCGTCCTGACATTTGGGGGCTATCTGTACCGTCCTGACATTTGGGGGCTATCTGTACCGTCCTGACATTTGGGGGCTATCTGTACCGTCCTGACATTTGGGGGATATCTGTACCGTCCTGACATTTGGGGGGATATCTGTACCGTCCTGACATTTGGGGGGATATCTGTACCGTCCTGACATTTGGGGGGATATCTGTACTGTTCAGAAATGCCCGTAGCGAATAGGGAAGAATGGAAATAGTGCAGGGCATACATGACTAGGCCCAGAGTGGTGCAGGGAACGGAAAGGGTTAATTTAGCTCCAGGGGGTGGGGAATTGATTGGGAAATTATATTATTGGCAGATGTGGAGTGTAGGAGGGGTCTGTGGTACCTTAGGGTGGGGGGTTCTGCGGAAGGGGTGTCAGTGGAGCTGGACGTGGCAAGGACCAGAGCTTCGTGCTCGGACCGGAGCTTCATGTGAGCTGGGTCCTGTTCTTTTTCCCCCTATCTGACCTTTGCAGCATGGAGGACCTTTTAGCGCAGCTGCGGGTGGCTGCTGAAGAAAGAGGTATGGGCTGGTTGCAGGGCCGGGTCTCTGAGCTGTTGGGAGACCCGGGCTTGTCACCAGCTGCAGGGGGGCGGGTGCGCCCACGTGCTCGGAGGTCGCGGCCTCCGGAGCGCTTCAGTCCGGCCCCACCCCCTGTTGGAGCTCAGCGCCGCAATGGGAGCCCCCCTCGGGACCCTCCGGCCCCGCTGGCAGGGCGCTCACTTGCCTCTGCAAGCGGCGGTGCCGGGAGGAATCCCCGGCGATGGCGGAGCTCGGCGGGCGGGGTTTCGCTTAGTGGTCCCTCCCCCCCGCCCGCATGGCAAGGAGGACACAGAGGGAGCTCGGCGGGCGGGGTTTTGCGAGGTAGCCCCTCCCCCCCGCCCGCACGGCTCAGAGGAGGCAGAGTGAGAGCTGGTACCGGCTCCTCCGCTGACAGGGTGTGTCTGTCAGGGAGGGAGCTCGGCGAGGGAGGCGTTCGGCTGCGGCTGCTGGGCTGTCCCCTGATGCGGCTGGCGGGCCCCCTGGACAGTTGGGAGCTGGGGCTCCAGAAAGACGGAGGAAGAGGTGCAGCGCTGGGCGGAGTGCAGCTGGGAGTGCTGCAGGACGGAGCCCAGGGACGGCGACAGGCGTGGCTGGTGCCCAGAGGCGGAGTCGGGAGCGGCACAACCCTGCGGGACCCGTGGCTCCTGGGACCGGGAGGCCATCCGGACGTCGGGCGGTGGACAAGAGGTCGGAGGGCGAGCTGTCGGAACCCGATGCGGGGGCGCGACGGCTCGCCGCTCTTCATCGGTGGAGCGAGAGCGCGCAGCTGATGGGGCATCTCCTGGGCAGCCTGGTGAGTTATCTGTTCCTGTGTCTGTCTCCCTTTCTTCTGCGTTGTGGGATCTGCTGGTGTCAGGGACCATCGCGACGCATGGGTCTACACATGCGTAGGCGTCTGTCAAGACATACAGGTAGCAGGGCACTAGGACCCAGGCGCACATGTCGTCTTGACAGTACTAGACAGGCACTAGGACCTAGGCGGCGACGGTCAGGTGCAGGGCGGGCTACTTAAGCCAGCCCTGCACAGATGCTTGTTGCCGAATGGTCTTTTGTATCCTGTTGCCTGTGTAGTGAGTACTCTGATCTGGATTTTCTGACCTTGTTGCCTTCTCCTGTCCTGACCCCTTGGCTTGCCTGACTCTGCTCCTGGATGTTCCCTTATAGATCTGATCTTTTGGTATTGACCCTGCGTGTGACCCGACTATCCTTTGCCTATCGTCTTGTACCTCACCGACCCGCTAGTTACCGACCCAGCTTGTTTGACTCTGACTTTGCTCATCCGTCCATCCATCCCTCAGGGATCCCTGGGCTCCCTCACATCAGACTCTTAACCCGCTGGAGCCCTTGGCAGACTCCTCTACCTCTGGTAGAGATACCTAGCAGCTGCGACCTGGTCCCGGAGCGCTCCAAGTCCATCCCCACCATCAGGGGCCCTGGTGAACAAGTGCTCCGGTACTTAGACTCCGCACTCTGGGGAGGCTCTATCAGGGGACTGATAGAGGTACTGTCAGGCGGTCCGTTACAGCTGGGGGGCGGACAGGCCGCCCCGGTGGGTGCGGCCTCGGCGGCGTTCGTTGGTGGCGTTCCCCTGCCCGGTTTAGGTGGGGGTCTCGGGGAGGTGATTTCCGGTTTGCGGGACTTGTTGCGGCGGCTGGAGTGGGGCGGTGTTGGGACCCCTGGGCCTGCTTCTGCATGGCTCCGCCGGCCGGTGGGGACGGGCTCGCGGTTCCTGGATAGGACAGAGGGGTGGTGCGGGGCCTGGGGGTCTCTTCTCCGCTTAGTTCTAGGACTGGGGTGGTTACCGCGGAGTCTGGGGTTATGGGCTCTGCGGTTCCTTCCGCGGTTGTGGGGGAGGGTTCGGGGGTGTCCGGACCAGTCGGTGTGGCGGACTCTGCGAAGGGGGAAGTGTACGTGTGTTTTGAGGGCCCCTTAGGTGCGCATTTGCAGTCGGACATACGGGAACAAATTTCCTTTTTCAGGCACATTGATGGATCCCCTTTAACGCGTTTTCAATTTGTGGCAGTTTTTCGCCGGTGTTTGACGGCTGCTGGTTTAGATGCGTCTTTGTATGCTTCGCACTCGTTTCGGATCGGGGCTGCTACGGAGGCGGCCAGGTGGGGGCTGTCGGATGATGTGGTAAAGCGCATTGGTAGGTGGGATTCCCAGAGATTTCGCCTGTACGTTCGGCCGCATTTGTTGCGGGCTTAGTGGGTGATCCTGTGTTTTGGTTTGTTTGTTTTGGGTGGGTGGTAGTTGCGGTTCTGTCCCTGTGCTGTATTGTTCTGGCGGTATTGTTTCTTTTCTTTCAGGTGGAGAGGTGTGCCTGGTGTGGATCCTGGGTCACTCGTATGTGTTTTGTTGGGCCAGGCGGGCTGATGTTCGGCCCAATGGCAGGCAGCTGGGGTTGGATAGAAGGGAGGTTTGTGTCCGCTGGTTTGGTGTGCCGGGCATGTTGTGGAGTCGTGTCGTGCCCGAGGTGCGGCGTTTTTTGCGTGGCTGGATAGACCACCGGATGTGTTGGTGATTCACGCGGGTGGCAACGATTTGGGGGGTAGGTCCATGCGGGAGCTGGTTCGAGATGTCAAGCTGGATTTTCTTCAGTTGCGGCGGGAGTTTCCAGGGATGGTGGTGGTGTGGTCTGACATGGTCGCCCGCACTTCTTGGCGCGCGGTCGGTGGAGCGGCTCAACAAGGCCAGGATTAAGGTCAACCGGGAGGTGGGGCGCTTTTTTAGTCGCAATGGAGGGTTGGTGGTCCGGCATGTGGAGTTGGAGGTGGATACTTGGCGGTATCTTCGCAGTGATGGAGTGCATTTGAATTCGGTGGGCACGGATTTGTGGTCCCTGGAGCTGCAAGACGGCATACTACGGGCGGTTCGTTTGTGGCGTGGCACGCATGGGTAAGGGCTTACCCAGCTGTGGCGGTTGTTGGTCTTTGGAGGCGGTTCTCATCTTGGAAGGTAAAACAATGGTGTGGGACCCCATCCGTGGTATGGGGGCCCGGCGGATATTCCCAGTTAACCAAGGTTTAACTGGAAGGTGGTGGTGCTGCACTGCGGACGGTATGGTTGTCTCCGAGCTGGTTGGTTGCGGCTGGAGGCCTAGTGTATAGGGTTGTCCGCAGGTGCATTTTGGATCGTTTGTGGGTGCCTTTGAAGACCAACAACAATTCTTTGGTTTTCCGTTAAGGAACGGTTGATGTATGTTAAAATGTGAAGTTGTTAATAAAAGGCCATGTTGGCCATTTACTCCAAATGGTGTCATGTTTTTTGTAAAGTTTAGTTGGTTAAGGGGGTGGGGAGTGATATGGATAGGCAATGGTGGAAGTAGGAGTGGACAAGCCTATCTATGGTGCATTAGTCATGACATTTGGGGGATATCTGTACCGTCCTGACATTTGGGGGATATCTGTACTGTTCTGACATTCTTGGACCTCAAGAAATTAGGCTACATTCACACTATCCTTGTTTGCTAGCGGCAGAAAGGCGGTTGGGAAGCGTTTTTTTACCGCTTCCCAAACGCCTCAGACACAATTCTGCCCATTGCAGCACATGGTGCTGTTCTAACGGGAGCGGCTGGTAGCGTCGCGGCACGGTGCAGCAAAACGGACGCCTCTGGTCGAGTCAGGAGGCGTTGAAGCCTCCTAGTCTATGGTGCCGCTCCGCAAACGCCCGGCCAACGTTTGCGGTGCAGTTGCGACGCGGTTTGCGGGGCGTTTGCGGAGCTAGGACGGTAACAACATTTCAAACTTCATTATAGGCATTTGTGGGGTGTTTTTAACGATCGGCAAATGTCTAGCAACCGCCACTAAACCGTGCATGCAGCATTTGCCGAGCGTTTGCAGAGCGTTAAACACTTCGCAAACGCCGGACCAACGCTTGCCAAACGCTATATAGGGCGTTGGTAAAACAGTCAAGTGTGAACGAGCCCTTAGATTGGCTGTCAGTACTTCCTACAGACTAAATAAAACATCCTAATTTATTTTCACCAAAGACATGGAGCAGAATACATCTCGGCCTAAATTTATGAAGAACAATTATTTATATGCAAACTTTTTATAACAGAAACAAAAAAAAACGTGGGTTTTTTTTTTTTTCAAAAATTGTCGGTCTTTTATTGTTAATTTTGCAAAAAATAAAAACCCCCGGCGGTGATGAAATACCACCAAAAGAAAGCTCTAGTTGTGTGAAGAAAATGATAACATTTTAGTTTGGGTACAATATTGTATGACCGCGCAATTGTCATTCAAAGTGTGAGAGCGCTGAAACCTGGAAAATTGTCCTTGGGGGCAGGAAAGGGGGTAAAAGTGTCCGGTATGGAAGGGGTAAAGGGGGGTGTGGTAGGAGGTGTGTCCTATGCCTACATACATTTACTAATAGGTGTCCCCTCGTTCCCATCTTAAAAAGTTGGGCGGGGTGTCTGAAGTCCAATTTTAGTTTCTTTCTAGCAGTGTACAGCAGCTGCTGTGTGTTTGGAGGGAAGGCAGCCTACCAAGACCCTAAAGTATTGACAAGGATACAGGTCCATCTACTGATGAAGTCTGAGGATTAATTTCTCCACAACGTCAAGAACTATAGAGATGAGGGATTGTTTTAAAGTGCTTTTACTGCTTGTTCATTCTATGTAAGCAATTCAGTGTGAATAGTCTGCACAGGTTCTCTTCATGTAATGTGTTCTCTTCATGTACTGTGTTTCTCTTCATGTAATGTGTTCTCTTCATGTACTGTGTTCTCTTCATGTACTGTGTTCTCTTCATGTACTGTGTTCTCTTCATGTACTGTGTTCTCTTCATGTACTGTGTTCTTCTTCATGTAATGTGTTCTCTTCATGTAATGTGTTCTCTTCTGTACTGTGTCTCTTCATGTACTGTGTTCTCTTCATGTAATGTGTTCTCTTCATGTAATGTGTTCTCTTCATGTAATGTGTTCTCTCTTCATGTACTGTGCAATTTCTCTTCATGTACTGTGTTCTCTTCATGTACTGTGTTCTCTTCATGTAATGTGTTTGGTTCTTCATGTACTGTGTTCTCTTCATGTACTGTGTTCTCTTCATGTAATGTGTTCTCTTCATGTAATGTGTTCTCTTCATGTAATGTGTTTTCTCTTCATGTAATGTGTTCTCTTCATGTAAATGTGTTATTCTGGATATTTATCCTGGTTCTCCATAATCAAACATTTTTCAAAAGTCAAAGTCATGTGTCCACAGGGCCCATAATAATGGGCAGCGCTCTGCATTCCATTGAAAACTTCCTTCTCAAGCATTCCATTCACCTCTATTGTTTTACCTCTGAAAACTTGTCAACTTCGGAGTTGTTTTGTCTCCCTTGCGTGACATAAGCATGAGTTTGGTTCAGCAATTCTTCGAGTTCTTCCAGCGTGTAACAGCGAGGGTTCTCCTCGTCCTCTGGCTGTGATTCCAGATGCAAAACACTGTCAAGTTAGATCCAAAAAAATACACTGTCTTGTTAAAGTATTGTCCCCGCCCTCCATATCATGTTGATTCAGGTGTTCTCCAATCCCCTCCTATCATCGTGTTCTTTTCAGGTGTTCCAATCCCCTCCCATATCATGTGATTTCAGGTGTCTACCATTACCCCTCCAGATTGGGACACCCAATAAGCAGGTGTATACAATCAAGCCCCTAGGGCATCGCTGATCGGCTTCTTCATAAACATAGGTGAAAGAATGGGTCGCACTCTCAGGAGACTTCTAGTTGACTCCAACAGCGTGGTTCCCGTGATAGGTGGCGCAACCTGTGCAATAATAGGTCCAGACCGCAGTGGACTGTTTCTCTGGCTACTAAATATTCCACACGCTCAACTGTTAGTGGGATTATAACATACGTGGAAGCTCACAGAGTAAACCACACAGCCACCTCAAGCCAAACCAAGTGGTAGGCCACGTCCACCATGTCAGGGCGGGTCCAGCGCGCTATGCTGAAGCGCACAGTGTGACATGATGTCGCCTAGCTCGTCTGCAGATGTCCGATTAGCATAAAGAACCTTCCAAAACTTGGTTCCTTGTGGACTTCCATGTGGAGGCCCAAACATACAGTGGTAGAGAGCTTCATGGAATGGCGTTTCCATGGCCGAGCACTGCATCCAACCCTCCATCCATCACACAAGTGCAATGCAAAGCGTCCCCGATGCGTGGTGTAAAGCACGCCGCCAGCTTGACTGCTTGGAAACCTATGCTAGACAGAGAGACGTGTTCTCTGGAGTGAGCCAATCACGCTTCTTCTCTGTCTGGCATGCTTCGATGTGTGTGTCTGGGTTGTGTGCGTGGTGTCCAGGAGAACGGCTACTTGCCTGACTAGCATTGTGCCAAGTGTGAAAGAGTGGTGGAGGGGGGATTATGGTGTGGGCTGTGTGTCACGAGGGGTGAGAGAAGCTTGGCCCCCATAGTTCCAGTGTAGAAGGAACCTGCTTCACGTGACTTTTTGGACAATTTCCTGCTCCCAACTTTGTGGGAGGAGTTTGGGATAGGGGGATGGCCCCCCTTCCTGTTCCCAACATTAAGACAGCCCACCAGTGCGACAAAGCAAGGTCCATAAAGACATGGAGGAGCCAGTTTGGGGTGGAGTTTTTAACTTGACTGTCCTGCACAGAGTCCTGACTCAGCAACCCCATAGAACACCTTTGGGATGAATTAGAGCGGCAGACTGTGAGGCCAGGCCTCCACTCCCCCGACTATCATTGCCCCTCCCCCGACATCAGTGCCTGACTTCTGTGCCTGACCTGACAAATGTGCTTCGGAAGAATGGTCCAACCTTCCCATAGACACCCTCCTAAACCTGAGTGGACGGGCCTTCCCAGAAGAAGTTGAAGCTGTTACATGAAGTGGGCGGGACTGAGAACTCAGTGGGGGCCCAGGGAAGCAATAGGGGATCATGGGGCCCCTGTAGGCCTTTGGGCCCCAAACCAAATAACAAGCCTCTATGAAAATAGGTTACAAAGGGGCATATGAATGGATGGGGCAGCCCTACGAGGAACGGGCCCGTTGAGCCTTGCAGGGGTTTTTCCAAATGGTCAGTCCGAACCCTGGTTATAGGTGCAAAGGGCTTGGGGCCCAACTACAAATATTGAAGCACCTACGGACTAAGACTGGGAGGCCATTAAAATGTCCATGTGCGTGGAAATCCCGGGGCGGGTCCAACTCAATATTGAACCCTACGGACTAAGACTTTGGGACCCTTCCATTAAAGGTCATGTGAGCGTGGAAAGGGCGGGGCATAACTCAATCTCAGCTTGAACCCCTCACGGACTAAGACTGGGGGCCATTCAAGCTTCTCATCGTGCGTGGATAAAGGGCGCGGCCAACTCAGCTTTTGAACCCTACGGACTAAGACTGGGGGCCCCCACATCTAGAAGGTCATTGCTTGCGTGGAAATGAGGGGGGGCCAAACTCACATATGAACCCGTCTACGGACTAAGGACCGAGGGGGGCCATTAATGGTCATTGTGCGTGATGACGGCCGGCGTCCCAATACTTTTGCAGTAATATTATTCGATCTTAATCTCAAAGTGAGTTACGCCCTTCATCAATGATCTGACCTTTAGCATGCACAATACTAGCATAATCAACAAAAAGGGATCTAGTGTGGGCTTTACATATGTACTGACAATACGCGACGATAGGGGTCCTATAACCAAAGAACATTTTGGCTTTACATAAAACCCTCGGTCTGATGCCATCCCTCCTCAGGTTGGGAGGCCAATAATTGAGGTTGAGAAGACTCCCCTTGGCAGCTCTCACCCCTCCCCCGAGCATCCCCTCGGTATGGAGAGACAGAGGCATCAGGAGACAGAGTAGCACAGGTGGTCAGTAACTCAGTTAGAAGGTAGTAGAGTACAGCAGTAGTATCCGGGACTGTACTTAGCAGTGTGGAACCACACCAGGAGAGGATGGTCAGGTTTCTGAAGGTTGGCACTTGGGAGAAAGATAACCATTAGCAGCTTGTTGAGTGGGAGGACATAGTTCAGTCAGAGGCCGAGATAACCACCAGGATCAGAGACCTCTGTCAGCATGGACGAGGTCAAGTAGCCAGGCCAGCGGTCATCCCATCCAAGGAGTTGAAGTCTACTGTGGGTTATCGCCAGCTTCTGCAAAGGGCGGGGGGCCACAACTCAGATATTTAGAGGCGCCCCTACGGATAGGAACTGGAGAGCCATTAAAGGTCATGTGTGGTCGGGAGGGCCTCTGAGCCAACTCAATATTGAAACCCTACGGGACTAGAGACTGGGGGGCCATTTAAATGTCATGTGCGTGGAAAGTGGTGTGTGGCCTACAACTCGCAATATTGAACTTCTTCAGACTTAGGACTGGGGGGCCTCCGTTTAATAGGTCATGTTCGTGTAGTGGGACACCATGGGTCGGGCCAACTCAATATTGAACCCAGTACGGACTT